GAAATGAGAATACTTAATATTTACGAACTTAATATTTTTAATATTTTATGCTTTGTATATATATGTAAAAACAATCTTTCTCCTGCCGTTTTTAATGATTTAATTGCTTTGAAACCTACTAATAAATACTCTCTAAGAAATAACAACCTTCTATTTGAGCCTTTTTCTCGAACAAATTTTAACAAAATTTGCATTAGTTATCGTGCACCCCATCTCTGGAACAGAATTCTTTTGCCTAATTTTAATTTTGATCTACCTACTTCTTTGCATCTTTTTAAAGTTAAGCTGAAGAATCTTTTTCTCTCCCGTATTATCAAAGTTTGACAATAATATTTATATTATGGAAATATTTATTAAACTTTATTATCTATACTACAAAGTGATATATTTATGAACATTTTATTTTTATTTTGTTGTTGTTATAGTTACTTTATAACCTAATATTTTGTTTACACTAGTATAAGGTTCTGATGATAAGATCTTACTGATCTTCTTTCAGATACCTAGCTTTTCAAATGTTAGCAGTATTTGCTTACTTTATAAGTTGTATTAATTCTTTAATTACTCATTATATTGTAAAAACGAACTAACAAATGTAAACTAAAATATATATATAAAAAAAAAAAATCCTTGCAAACTAGATTTCAATCGACAGCGTTACTAAAGAAGACAAACGTTCATCGACCATTATTGACCTATTTAAAGATACAAAGAAATATAGCTACATGTATTTATGTATTATGAAGCAAGATTATTTATACTAACCTATGAAAATTTTTAATTAGTTTTAACTTGCTAAGGCTACGTTCTCCACTTGCAACAGTAACTAGTAAAGTAAGAATGATTCGTAATGCAACAACTAGATTGGGGTAAGTTTCTTGCAGCTCTTCTTTAAGGCATTTTTTTCCTTCTTCTTAACTATGACAAATCGACACACTCGTATGAATAAATCGACATTTTTTTTTCGTAAATGTATCATAAGAAAAACTTTTTCAATGCCCAATACTTCTGCGATTTTTGATGCCTTAATACGTGCGTCGGAAAATCCATTTTAGCGATACTCATAAAGAAATGCATTTGTTGCCTTTATTTCACTAGTTAATATGTCGAGAGAGGTTGCAGAAGACTGAAAAAGATTACTTGATTTGTTTATTTATAATAAAACATCATGCCGAATAATGATTGATAATAAGAAAGATCATGTTCTAATATATTCCGTGAGCGATCGTACTTCTGTGGCCCAACTCTCTTCTCTAAGTCATGTTCTTCCAAACTTTCGAGTGCCTCTAAAACTTATTTTAAATTACAGTGAAGTGGTTTAATACAGTTTATTCTACTTTCCCATCTGGTATCTGATCGTGGTTTGAAAGAAATAGCCAGGCACAATTTTAGAATTTACCATCGAGGAGGAGACAATGAAAAGAGCCTATATAACCTTAAAAGAACAGCAAAAAAAGAAATTACACTGATAGATGACCTATACTTATTTGTTCTTTGTGCGAAATGCATGGCGTACAATCTAAAATAATAATAAAGTATTTTCCTTTTTTTACCCTAGATAGGTTTTTGGATTCAATCTCCTTTTCAAACCTCGTTCTGTGTGTCATTGCTCAAATAGTGCATGTTTCGTGTTCTTTAAGTTTTTTTGATAAGCCTTTCCAAGAGTTCATTACTTGTCGGAATGACAAAAAAATTATCCCAAAAAGTTAGCAACAAAAATAAAACACTTTATTGCTATTTAAAGAATGTACAAGTCCGTTCAAAGATTTTTCCATTCTTCATCTTGCTGTTATAATAATTCAGTGAAAATCGTCTTCTTTCTAAATAGTCTGGAAAATTAATTTCAATCTTTTTTAAAAAAAAGATTGAAATTGATTTTCCTTTTCAAACCTCGTTCTGTGTGTCATTGCTCAAATAGTGCTAATTGGTTTGTTTGTTCTGAATTCTTTGCATAAGCTCATTGATAACGGTATTGTACTTAGCCAGTAATTCAAACACCCCAAGAAGGTTTCCATTGCTTTTTGAGCCGATGGCTGAGTCTGAACCACAGAATTCAAAATTTCTTGCAGAAAGAAATAAGGTTATGTTCAGTACCCTTTTTATCACTGCACTGCATAGATGAGCAACTTTTAAAAATTAATTAGGAAAAAAAAGTAACAAAGCAATAAATTAAAAGAAATATGAGTTAATATTTTTGTTAAGTCATCCAAAAAGCACATCCAAAAAGCACACCCAAAAGCACTGTTCAAAGCACTTAAAATGTGCACTGCATGTTTCGTGTTCTTTAAGTTTTTTTGATAAGCCTTCCCAAGTGTTCATTACTTGTCGCAATGGCGAAAAAGTTATCCCAAAAAGTTTGCAACAAAAACAAAACACTTTATTGCACGAGCCATGTTCGTTCAAAGATTTTTCCATTCTTCATCTTGCTGTTATAATAACTCAGTGAAAATCGTCTTCTTTCTAAATAGTCTGGAAAATCAATTTCAATCTTTTTTAAACCACGTTTAACAATATCATACCTCACTGATAAATCATCACTGAGAAAAATAGGCGGAATTGTGTTGCCATTTATTGTAGACTCACATATTAACCTATCTGACCCTAGTATTCAAATAATGACAATCAGAATTATTTGTAGTTTCTGTTGGTGTCAAAACACTTGCAGGCTAAACTGCTGGGTATTTTTTGTTAGTTTAGGGTAATTTGTAATTTTCTCCCTGGCTGCAGCTTTTTCTCTTCTCTTAGTGGCACCACTTTTCACTTTTTTCATACCAATATTTATATCGTGAAAAACGCATAAGTAACGATAAATAACGATAAATATAATAAAAAGATAAATATAAATTTTGCAAACCTTCTTTCATTGTTTGTTTTTTATGATATAAAAAACTAACAACGCATAATAATAATAATAATAAAAAAGTCAATTCGAAATTGCAAAATAAAGATAATAAATTTATAAAGCTTGCGTTTTATAATATATTTCGGACCTCGGGAGTGTTAATTCTTTTTTTTGCATTAAAAATGTTATTGCTTTTTTTACGCTTGCATAATTTAGGTATCGTGATTAAAAGGCCAAGTTTTTTTATTAATAGTAACAGTAACTATATATATTTAAATATTTTTATTATAATAAATACAATTTTTTTTTTAATTTTGAAAAGGGCTCCTAATAATGCTACCCCCCCCCCCCCAATAAGGGGGCGTGGGGAAGTCAAGCCACGGCTCTGGGTTAACTACAATCAGATTCATTGGTAAGATTTAATTTATAAAAGCCTTTTTTACCAAGTTAATAATTAGCATATTTTATTCAACCCTTTACTTTACCGTTTCTATTTTTTAATTTATAACTTTTATCGGAAAAGGCAAATTTAATTTTGACAAACAATTTATGTCCGGCATAAAAGGTTATACAAGGATACATTTAAGTTCATTGATAGCAAATTTTACTTCATAGAGCTTTATGTCCATTTTCCAAAAAAATTAAAAAAAAATTATTAAGCGGCCAAAACTTTAACATTTTATTAAAAAAAAATTATTTTTTTTACTAAAATATTATACCACCTTATTTATAAAGTGAATCTCTTCAACATGATCAATGTTGAGGAGATTTTTTCATTTATCATTCGATTAAAACTTATGTTTATTTTTTAGTGTCTGTTTATGGTCCATCGTGTTTTTTTGCTTTCCTAGATTTATTGTGTGATTTTGGGAATTTTTTTATTTTAGATAAAGCTTTGAAAATTAAACTAAAAACATGTATTATAACCATATATTATTTTCCCAGAACACATGAAAGGATTTTTTACAAGTAGTTTTAAATGTCCGCAAAAAGTTAGAAATAATAAATAATAAAATATTGCATGTTTTTAGAACTGAATATTGAATGTTTTAAGATATTTAACGCGTGCAGTTTAAAAAAAAACAAAAAACACTGGCAATATATTTACTATTATTCACAAGCTTAAAAAAAAAAAAAAGAAAAGAATATATATACGGTTTCATTCGTGTAAAATAAAATAAAAAACGATAAAATAAAAAATATACATTAGATATAAATATAACTAATTTTTATTAGTACAATTTTTCATATGAGTATATAAAGTAGCCCTCCACTTAAAGGGTCTGCCACATATATTGCAGGACAACTTGGCAGTACTGTGTTTACCTTGTATATGAGAATCTAAATAAATTTTTACTTTGAATGCTTGACCACAAAAGTTGCAAACATACGGACGATCATCTAAATGTATAGGAATATGACGTCTTATAGCTGATAGAGAGCTGAAAGACTTTTTGCAAAAAGAACATTCATAAGCTATTTCGCCATATATGTTGTTAACGCGTTCAATAAACTGCTCTAGCTTATTTGTATAGTTCTCCGGAAATGTTTCTTTTCTCTCCGTATGTGAATCAGTTTTTATTTCAGATAAATTATCTACTAATACAACTTCTTCTGTTATATCTTCATTCGGCGACTCAGGAGATAATGCTTCAATCTTTGCAGTTATAAGTGATCCACTGGAAGTGACGTAAGATTGCTTTTCTTCAGAAAATTGTCGTTTTAATTTAACATAGACTTTTTTTTGAGGAGAATATTCACCTTGCTTGAACTTATTAAACGCATCTTCAGAAGTAGTGATCGACATATCCTCATTTTCAAAACTATCGATTGCATTTGATCGTTTTTGTCCACCAGAGTAATCAAACGACCTTTTTAAAACTTCGTAATTTTGCTCTTGTTGCTTGTTAGACTTCTTTATTACAACAACGGTTACTGTAACAACAAAACCACGATTTAAAATATTAGTATTTTTATTATATTCATATTCGAAGGAAAAATATTGAAATAACCCACGTAAAATATTCAAACCAAAACAAACAAAAAGTTCTTTAAGCAACCCCTCCCTAATGATTTTATTTTACTTTTATTAGTGAGGCTTGATAACTAAAAATTATCGTTTCATTGCTAACACCTCAGGAGCACAACAACAAGTTACTATTGTAAAGCAAAAATTTATTAAATCCGCTTCAAGATCTACACTTTGTGCACAGGATATGTACGTTTGGATTGTTTTTTGTTTTTTTTTAATTGAATAAGCAAGCTTCGACACATTTAAAAACCTTTTCAAATTTCAAATTGAAAAGATTAAAACATGTTATTGGATAATATGAATCTCAATTAAAATTACTTGAGATCTGATTTATATGGATTTCGTTAACACGATCAGGCATCAATTGATTAACTGTTAAACTATTAGCCGACAATGAATCTGATATTTGGGTAATTGGCACTTCTATATTTTTATCAGTCATGTGATTATGAGAGTATTGATTATGAGACAGGTGAGATAAGGTAGTTAAACAATGATTTTGCATTTGAGGAACAACGGAATGCGATAGTTGAACCGTACTGTTTGCTATTGAAGTATCTGGATCGGATATAGAAACAACATTATGACCAATTGGGATGCCTACATGATTAAGAACAACACTATGTACCATTTGCTGGAGATTTGGAACGTTTAGTGTCGTTGGAGTTGCAGAGGAAATTGCAGAGTTGTCAGCTCTACTTTTTTTTTTCTTTCTTCCTGTTTTAATAGCATGACTTTGTATATGCCTTTTCCAAGTAGTTCTCCAGCTGAAGCGAGCGTCACATTTATCGCAAACAAACTGTTTGTCATTTTTATGTACACCGTTTATATGCCCAGTTAAATACTGTCTAGTTTTAAATGACTTCTCGCATGAATTGCACTTAAAAGGACGATAATCAAAGTGTCGCCGGATGTGATTTTCTAATAAGGTTTTGCGGTTAAAAAGCTTTGAGCATAACTGACATGAATAATGCTGATTAAACTCAGTATGATACATTTTTACATGTCTTTGTAAACCTTTCTCATGCATAAACTTATCCCCGCAATATTCACAAGAAATTGTTTTTCCAACATGATACTTCAAATGCTTTGTGAAACTAGTTGCGTTGCTAAAAACAATACTACATTCTGGACATTGAAATGTATATTTAACACAACGGTTTTTATCTATATGGGATTTTAGATCTGAAAATTGCCTAAATGTTGCCTTGCATTCTTTGCACTCAAAACGCTTTGTTTCCGGATCCCATAGTTGGTTTGTAATAATGGGCTGAACTAAAAACAAAAGTCGAGAAACATTATATTTCAATATTTTTGAAATACAAGTAAAAAACAATTAAAAAAAAGTAATATGTAAATTCTAAGGAACTAGGACCAAAATAAAAATAAAAAACACCAGATTTTTTGTTTTAATTTTTTAAAAACGAAATTAACATAAAAACGTACTCACTCGCGGAAAGTGTGTAGTTTTCCTCCACACTGGTGTGTAGCAATCACTCCTAGACACAAGTGTGGAGTTATTTTGCACAATTTTGTGCTAATAACTCCACGCTTCTGTGCAGAAGTCGAGTTAGAAAAAGTTAATTTCGACAAAAGTGTGCAAAGTAACTCCACACTTATGTCTAGGAGTGATAGCTACACATCGGTGTGGAGGAAAACACCACACTTTCCGCGAGAGTGTAGTAAAAGCAACGATAAATTTGATCTTGAGTTTTCATAAAATAACCTATAGCAACTTGTAGTTACTAGTATCAATAGTTTTGCGATAATTTCTTTATATCTTACTTTTAAACTTCTTGATAAAAAGTTGTTAAAAAAGAATAGATTTTTAAAATCTATTCAAGTTCAACATGAATAGATTATAAAAAAGATAATTTGACACGTTTATCATAGATGTAAACTTACTGGTAAATTTTAACTTTAAAATAAGTAAATTTAAAAATTTTTATGAAGTTTTATGCAAATAAAATAGTGTGATAATTATCCGAGGAAGACTTGAAATTTTTACCAGCAAAATTAGCAGTAAATTTATCGGTAAGTTTTACTGGTCAATATGAATCGTTTGATAACTAATTAAATTAAGTTATTTTATTAATTAACAATGATATTTTAGTTATAATTTTAATTAATAAGCATATATGTATAAACAATATATGAAGAATAAAAAAAATTTTTTTCAAAAAGAAATTAAGGTTTGTTGTTCCACAACAATTAGGGCAGAAAAAAAATTTATTTTTTTCTGCCTTAATTGTTGGGGAACATTCCACAGTGAATATCACTTACGCCGGTTTATACTGTGTTTGGCACATAAAACATTTTAACATCTAACCAAGAATTTCAATTTTTAGCATTTAGCTAGGATTTTATATTTAATCTTCTCATAAATTTTAATGAACTCATAAATACGTATTATGACTAAGTTTATCAAAAATTATGAAATAATAAAAACAAAACAATATTTACGACACAAAATTAAAAGCAAGCATACAAACATTTTTAGGGAGTTAAAGATCGATTTTAAAAATTTAAATTTCAAAAATCGATTTTCAAGATCGATTTCAAAATTTAAGAATTATGCCTAAAAAAGATTAATTAGTACAGATGGTACACAAATACTAAAGTAGAACAGTACAGATGGTACAAAAATATTAAAGTACAGAAATCCTGTAATAATCAAATACTAGCAACTTAAAAGAATTTTTACAAAAAAAAAAAAAATCTTGTTTTAATAACTTTTTATACATCTTTAAATTTTAAGTTTAAATGTTTTAATTCTTTTTAAAAAAACTGGTTTTCAGATGAACGACTGTACTACAGTACAATGGCCTCATCACTGCTAATGTATGTTTTAAATAGTATAAATCATGTTTAACTATGTTATTCAATATCAAAATTTCAACGCTAAAGCGTTACAGTTGCTCCTGATTATGTTAATACTTTTAATTTCATGGTTCAATATAAAGAGTTTTAAATGATCAAAGAAATTCGTAAATGAGATGAACATTTAATTAGATAAATGTAGTTGTTTGTTCTCAAGTGCTATTTTTTGTGTGATGATTTTGTTTTAGAAGTACTTTTTGCACATAGAAAGTTTTTTAAATTGTGAGCATTAACTTTTCTGCTATGATAATGACATCAATAATATATATTTTTTAATTATATCTTGCTTTTCAACAATCTGTAGCAGAAAACTTAGTTAATAACTGTGAAGCTATAGAAAACTTAGTTAATAACTGTGAAGCTATAGAAAAAATCTGTAGCAGAAAACTTAGTTAATAACTGTGAAGCTATAGAAAAAAGATTAGGAGATAATATTAAATTGCTTTAAAAAAAAAAGAAAAAAGAAAAAAAAAAACTTATTAAAATAGATGTAAAAACATTATAACATACAACAGATGATCAAACAAAAAATTAATTATTTTGTAAAGTGCTCATCTATCTCTCTACTCATATATCTCTGCTTGATGTAATAATGTAATCAAGTGTTTGATGTAATAATGTAATCAAGTGTTTGATGTAATAATGTAATCAAGTGCTTATTTGATAAAATATTTAAGTCATGAAATCATGTGAATCAAGAGACGAAGCTAATTTGCGTAAAATAATTTGCGTAAAATAATTTGCGTAAAATAATTAGTATTCTTTATTTGTTTTAATTAATTTGATAGTTGTAGGGCATTTGCTTTATTTCTCAAGGTTCTTGTTTTGGAGTTAAAGTTTGTGGAAGAGTAAAAAACAGTTAAAAAAACTAGCAACTAGTTTGACAGTAGTGTCTTCCTCATAAAAAAAAGAAATATTAAAATAAATATATTTTTCAATCTAAGATTGAGATCAATTTTTAAAATTTTGTTAATTATTTATTGACATTGACCGATTTATTGACAAGGTTTGGAAAGCATCTGTTACAGAATAGTGTCATGCGATAAGAGTCATTCAACTTGATTAGACTCTACAACGCCATGGTCAGAGGAGCCAAAGGAGTTAATTGAGATCAAGTAAACCAACTAGATTTGATTACAAGAAATAAAGCATATATTAACTTATATTTATATTAACTTTAACAAAAATTTTAATAAAGTTTTTATCATTTTTAGACAAGTGTCCCTTTACTTTAAAAATGCTATCAAAGTTCTTAAATGCAACACCAGCTACCTTAATCCAACCAACAAACTGATGAAAAACTTGGCATAGTTGTTCAAGAGTTCACCAAGTTCTCATCAAGGTTTTTAACATTGAGCCTGTTACAGCAGATAATTACTGCAATAAAAACATACAAGATGCATTCATAACAAACTTAAATTTATGTCTAATACACGTGATGCATTCACACTTCAGCATTTTATGAAACATACTTCTTGAAATCTGCACAAAACCACTCTAAACAATATTATACCAACATACCTCAAAATTAAGGTAACATAAAATGCAATCAAATACAGCAATTTTAAATAAGATACAATTTATACAACTAAAATTTTACATTTGCCCTTGATGTACTATTTTACTACTTTAAATATTTTTTCAAAAACATCAGAAACAAAGAAAGTTTGCAAACCCCAATAAATACGTTTAAAAAACGTTTTAATAAGTTTTAACATGTTTTTAGTACAACATAAACACGTCTTGTGTTTACTGAGATACGTAAATCAATTAAACCATTAGATCTGATAATAACAGCAATACCATAAAATATACCATACACCACTAGTGCTGCACTTAGGATAGTAAATGAGCAGTCTAATAAAGAAAACAACTTTATCAATTATTTCTTTAAAATTAGAAGAACTTCATAAAACTTTAATAACAAACTCATTGTTGAAAAATATTAAATCCTATACACAAAAAGCAATTCCATTGTATCATTTGAATCATTATATCTCATAACGGTTAATTTTTAGATAAATAATTCATCAAACTTACAAACTAATGCAAATCAGTCTAATATTTACTTTGCAAATCTAAGATGCAGCTGAATCGATAAAATGTTTTTTCCAAAATTTTTTCCAAAATTTAGAAGCGTAGTTAAAATCAAGTATAGTATGTGCTTTAGATCAGTTAACAAGTTATCACTTAACAAGTTAAGCTTTTCCCCCTCTCCCCCCCCCCCCTCAAAAAAAAAAAAAAAAAAAAATCTCCAACATACCATGACATCACACAGCTATAGATTTATATGTATAGTTATAACTGCATAAAAAGTGCAATTGTATTATTGGAAATACAGCTGGTAATATAAGGGGCAAAATTACTAAATGATTCAAATAATTAAAAAAGACCAAAAAACCTAAAACAAGAAGAAACCTTAAATACATTTAATTGCATACCACAACAAAAATTCAAATATAAAAGAAAAACCGCATAAAAAACGATGTGGTTATGCAAAATGCGTGGTTTGTGGTTATGCAAATTGTGTGGTTTTTTATATTTACAAATATATTTCTTGTATTTAGAATTAAATTTGTAAATTTCATCTAATAGTTAAGTTTACAATGTAATTAATATAAATTTATATAAATTATAGGAAACATAGTAAATATAGCCCACTTCATACGTCTTGTGTAAAGGCATATATATTATGAAATTAGATTTATTTAAAATTAATTTTTCACCAATTATTGTCACTTAATTATTTATTAAACATTAAATAAACAAACAGTTATAAACAACACATTAAATATTAAAAAATAGTATTAGTAATATTTAATTAGCAACAAGTAATTATAAGCTATGCATACTAAACTTGAAATATAAATGGAACATAGTTCTTATGATGTTCTTCTGAAAGACATAATTTTGCTATTTTAAAGGTTTTTTAAATTGATTGAAAAATGATCAAATCAACGTACCCGAAACATGATGCAGATTTTTATGTTCATCTTATCATGTGGCAGATTTGAGATTTCCTTTTGATAACTTTCAACACTTTCCACAGAACTAGAATCTTGATGCATTGCATATACTTGTTGAGAGTTTCTGTAATATTGGTAAAAAGAGTTTTCCTTCCTATCAATCAATGGTTAATCAAAACTACAAAATCAACATTGTTTGAAGATGACATATTTAGATGGCAATCCATAACCTGTATATATTTATTTAATTTATACCTTGGCACAGTTTATATTTAAATACTTAAGTACAGCATTTAATGGAACTTTCAAAATGCTTGTGGATGTGCTCATGAAGTGTTGAAAACAGAAAGTTGTGCATTTGTTAATTTAAGTTACCCAAAACCCAAATATCTAAACTATATACAAATATGATTGCTGCAACAAAAAAAAAAATGCAGCAAATATTTTTTAACCACAAATAAGTTATTATGTAACTATACCTGGCTGATCTTCATTCTCATTTAGCCCAAAAGTCGAAGATAAGTTGGAGTAAAATTCTAAAAAAAGAAACAAAAAGTTTTTAAAATAAATCAGAAAAAAAAAAACATAAAATAAAAAAATTTCAAATTTTCAAAATTTTGATCACAACTTGTGGATCAAAAATTTAAAAAGAAACTAAAAGCCATATTCAATTTTTTTTACTACGCTGCAATAAACACTGCATTGTTAAAATTTTTTTAGTAAAGAATTTATAATTAAAAATAAATAAAACTTTAACAAAATTACCATCAGCAATGCTTTCTGGAATTGTACCAGTACTCAACAAACTCTAAAATAATACATAAAAGTTAATCTATTATTTATAATTGGCATTCATCAAATTTGTAATTAACAAAAAAAATCATAAATATTTTTTACTCATTCAATATTTACTTTTATTTTTACTTGATATTTTCAATTTGTAATAATATATATCTTTAATACAACAACTTAACAATATTGTTGCACAAGTTTTTTTTTAATCATATTTTTGAATATATACATATTCAATATATATATATATATATATATATATATATATATATATATATATATATATATATATATATATATATATATATATATATATATATATATATATATATATATATATATATATATATATATATATATATATGTATATATATATATATACATACATACATTTATTTATATAAAATTATATATTTGACATAAATAAATGTAAGGCCTCTAGTGCTGATAAATTTAAAAGATAAGTTTTTGGATTACTGTATATATAGTATATATATACATATATATATATATATATATATATATATATATATATATATATATATATATATATATATATATATATATATATATATATATATATATACCAGTTACATGATGACCAGTTTCACCAACATTTATATTATATATATATATATATATATATATATATATATATATATATATATATATATATATATATATATATATATATTATATATATATATATATATATTTATATATATATATATATATATATATATATATATATATATACATATATATATATATATATATAGATATATATGACCAGTTACATTATGACCAGTTTCACCAACATTTTATGGAGATAAAATGCTTATTTACATGATACATCAGTATCCTAAGAGTTTTTTGAGTTTTATACCATTTACAACAAATAGTCAGATACTTGATTTCAAAGGGGATAAAATAACACAGTTAAGCATTCAAAAAATTATATGATAAAAATAAAATATATTATTCACCCTTAGCAAATGTATTAAATTAAAATAAACATGACAAAAAAGCAAACACACCTGTTTAAATTTCCATGTCTTTTGTTTTTCATTTATTACTGGCTCCTTGGAAGTAAGGTATAATATGATTTGATGACACAAAATCAACTTTATATTTGCTACTGAGATATTATTTTACATAAATAATAAGTTACACACAAATGTAAACAAATGGTATAACTATAATATGTACACACACACGCACACACACTTAAATAAGTATGATAATTAATAATGAAATAAATAAATACATACACACACATATATATATTGAGTTAAATTATATTTATTCAAGTTTATAATTATTTTTACACACACACACACACACACACACACACACACACACACATACACACATATACATATACATACACACCCACACTCACACGCACATACATACACACACACACAAATATATATATATATATATATATATATATATATATATATATATATATATATATATATATATATATATATATATATATATATATTAGGGTGGTCCATAAAACAACTTTTTTGAGAAAAACCTGCTGACACCCCCTAAATGTGTTTTATCTAATGCAAAAACACTAGGTTTAAAATTTTTTTGAACAAAAATTATTTTTAGGGGTAGCTCAAGGCCCTCAAAAATTTGACGGGTCCCTAATATTTTGAAAAAAAAACTTTTTCTAAAGTATGTCAACCTGGTACTCAAAAGAAGCGATATTGTATAAAAACTTCAAAAATAATAATCATTTTACATAAAAAACATGCCTAAAAAAAATTATTCTCAAAAAACCTGAAAATATTGACTTTTTTTATTTTCAGCTTAAAAACAATAGTTTTTATGCATTTATACCTAAAAAAAATTATTTTTATAAAAAATTATTATCATTTTTAAATTTTTTATATAATTTTGCTTATTTTGAGTACCAGGTTGACATACTTTAGAAAAAGTTTTTTTTTCAAAATATTAGGGACCCGTCAAATTTTTGAGGGCCTTGAGCTACCCCTAAAAATAATTTTTGTTCAAAAAAATTTTAAACCTAGTGTTTTTGCATTAGATAAAACACATTTAGGGGGTGTCAGCAGGTTTTTCTCAAAAAAGTTGTTTTATGGACCACCCTAATATATATATATATATATACAACTTATTCAAATTTTTAATTTTTTTTTTTAATGGCCTAAACATTAGATGAAACATTTTTTAGTTAACATGATGATTAGTTTTAAAAATATCCCCCATGAACCACTTTTTTGAAAAACTTACTTGTTTACTTTTTACGTATAACTTAATTCAGTATTTTTTAGTTTGTAATTTATAAAATTACAAAAAAAAATATGATTAACTTTTAGATTGAGATGTATAAAATATGCAGTGATACCATAAACAAAAACAAGAAAACTTGACAAAGTAATTTAGTTCATTTTAAGAAAGAATATGCAAAAAGAAATCAATAGCATTGTAGAACTAATAGAAAAGCTAAATAGAATTCTATATGTTTTTTTAAGGAGGTTCACTTACTTGACCTCTTTAGAGAAATCTGTTTTCAGAAGATGCAAACTTATTGCCTTCAAATTGATTTCATTACGGAACAAAATAAAGTTTCTATCCATAACAGAAAAACCATTTTCACAGAATGTTGAAAATTGAATAAATATCAAAGAGAACAAAAGACACAGGTAATCAGTATCAGTAATTATAATGAAATATTATTATTTGATTTTACAAATATAATTTGGAAACATGTTTTTATACTTTAGTATTGTTTTTTAAAAGTTACACATTTTATCAGACATGTTCAGGAATAATGAAACACATGCCCATCTCTTAACTTGCATAAATTTATTATCAGCTGTGTTTGTTAATCACACATAATTCAGACCTTAAAATTTACTATCATACATAAAATCATTTGAATTTTTTTTGTTTTTTTGTTATATCTGTTGCTAAATAAAATAAAAAAGTATAATTTTTTATGTAAGTTTCTTGTAACAAAATACAAGCTAGTTGAATAGTACATTTAATAAACATAGTCAATTTTTTTAAATAACATCTTTCTTTTCTTTGTTTAGAAAATGAAGTCTTATAAAGATTTTAAATAATTCTTTATAAAAAAAATAAAAAAGAAACAATTAAATCAAGAATTAATTAAATCTTTTCATAACAATAGAAAAATAAATTAATAATTTCTTTTTACAATTTAGTTACAATTTAGCATTTAGCAAGACCACTTAGTCAGCACTCTAGATTTATAAACCAGCACTCTAGGTTTATAAAAATCCAGACTGCAGGTTAAAAGTATTTTAATAAAGTTGGGTTGGGTACTATACTATAATTTATATAAAATATTCAAAAAAAAGTTGAATGTCAAAAGAATATATGTTTTAATTGATTCAGTATAATGAAATTTTAACAATTTTAACTTTAACAAAAAATTTAACAAAACAATCTTCGATTTGTTTTGTTAAATTTTTTAAATTTTTTATCTGAATTATGTGTGATCCAACAAATTTACTTTCACAAAGGAAAGAAGCATTTATAGCAAACACATATTGCATACGAGACAAAAGCAATGACAATTTTAGCTTGGAGTCAGACTATTAAACATTTTTTAGGTATATTTCTTCTTATCTATGTTCTTTGTTTATATATTATATGTGTTATGTGTTATGTTTTCAACTAAATAAACTTTAATGATATTTTTATTTAAAGTTTGAAAATATAATAATTGTTTTAAACTGACGTTGTTTATAAAATAAGGTTTTATAAAAAATTAAAGTTAATTATAAAAATTGTGTTTAGGATTTAAATTTCATCAGAAGTTAAAATGAATTGAGCCCTATTTTTTACCAGCTAAAAATAAAAAATTCTTTACTTCTTTATGTAATATTATTTTACCTATTCAAGCAAGAATGATTATCTTTCATTTAGATATTTAATATAAATAAAATTAATCAAATGAGCATTCACCATAATTAACTTAATTAACTATACTTTGAAGGGGTTTAAATTTTTATTAAAAATTTTTTTCAAACAATTTGAACTTAAAAAAAGATATAATTAAAAAGTAAATTTGAATTATAATTTTAAAAAATCTTCAAAATTTGATTTTCGTACTATTTACGTACATAAAGAGTTTTTTCAATATATGATAGAACGCCTTGATTAAGATTTGATGCATCAGCCATTTTTGTTTTGTTATTGTAATATGTTTTCGTATTCAAAGCCGTCCGACCAGACGGATAAAATGTTCACAATTATGGATGTCCGATCAGTAAAAAATGTTTTATAATTTTTTTTTGTAAATGTTTAGTATATTTAATAATATAATAGTGGATTTAATAGTTTAAGAAATACTTTAGTGTATACTTATATTATATTCAGGGGTTAAAATAGAACGGAGCGCACAGGAACACTGTTCCGTTTAAGTCTACTCTCAAAGAGATTGTTCTGCTACCCTTTGTTTCTTTCATAACCCCCCAGTGGACGCAAGACATATTTTTGACATTTGCAAAACGTACTAAACGTGTTAAAAAGTTTTATAGACGACTGAAACTTGAGTTGCATCAGCAGGGCATTACCATGGCTTTTTTGAAGATTCTTTTGAGAAGAACTTTTTTTAAAAAAGTTAGACTTGAAAATAATCATGTAAATCAAGCACTATTTAAAAATTTTTTTTTATCATTATTATTATTTTGAATTTGAATTTTATGGTGTATTTTGCCATTTAATCCTCTTATATCTAAAGTTATTGTAGGCTTAGCATAGCCACAAATAGTCATAAAGACTAATCCAAAGCAGCGTTTGTTATTGACCAATATTTTTTCTTACCGAAGTACTACTCAAATTTTGACACTCTAAACAACTGAGCTATTTAGCCACTATGGATTTTTAAGAGATGAGTTTTTATTTGCAAAAATGGCTGACTAGCAAAATAGGCAAAAAACAATTTTAGTTGATATAGGTGGAGTTAATTGTCTTGATCTATCGTTGACCAAAAACAATAATTCATAGTTGTATGACTTTGCAAATCTACCTAAATCTGTTTGAAATATCTCGGTCGCAAAAAAAACTTCAAAAGTTATATTATGCATGATGATATACCATTCTCCAAAATCAAGTTATGATTCCCGACCGATGATGTCATAATTTTTGTCATAATCTTAAATAATCCTTTTTTTTAAAAAAAAAAAAAGATTTATTGTTTAAAGTTAATCTAGCGTAACAAAAAAATATATATATAAAAAAACCATTTTTTTTATTAAATCAAGAGTGCGTACATCTATTATAAAAATTGTGTTTAGGATTTAAATTTCATCAGAAGTTAAAATGAATTGAGCCCTATTTTTTACCAGCTAAAAATAAAAAATTCTTTACTTCTTTATGTAATATTATTTTACCTATTCAAGCAAGAATGATTATCTTTCATTTAGATATTTAATATAAATAAAATTAATCAAATGAGCATTCACCATAATTAACTTAATTAACTATACTTTGAAGGGGTTTAAATTTTTATTAAAAATTTTTTTCAAACAATTTGAATGCAATGGGCCCCAATTTTAAAAAGGTATTTATTTCTTCCTAATCTAATAAAAATGGTTAGTCCTGCTTTAATTTCTTCTGATTCTAAACTTCAATTTATTGCATCATAAAGACATCAACAACACATAAATGTATTATGTATTGTTGTGAACATCATTATAAATGCTTCAACATAAGGTATTCATAAATGAATACCTTTACTTGTATCAACATCTTTTAATAACAATGTTAACAATATTAAATGTTAATATAGTATCAACACTTTTTCCCATAACAATGTATATATACAAATTATAAACAGAATAGTTATTTACTTCCATAAATTAAAAATAAAAACATTGAAGTTATTATGTTTGTATAATTTGAGATTGTAAGGAATATTGTAATTCAAAAACTTTTGTCAACCAAAATATGCTTTAAAAAAGAAAACCCAGTTCTTGTAAAAAAAAGGTATATCTAAAGAAATGTTGCAAAAAAAACTTGTATATAGTATTAAATAGCACTAATGATTCATGTTGCAAAAAAACACTAATGATATATGTAGCAAAAAAAAAAAAAAAAAAAAACTTGTATGTAATATTAAATAACATTAATGATATATAATAGAAAAATACTAACAATAAAAATACTAAACTAAGTTGATTGAGTTTAGAAAAATGCAAAAATATGCATCTAAAGACTAGAACGAGCTTCCTTTTTTACTGCAGTATGGAGTAGGCATAAATCGTGGGGTAAAGCATAAATGGTGATGATGTTTATCTAATGGGATAAATTAGGTATAGGTGCTGAGCCTCTTTGAAACGCTGATTATAATAAATGTGATTCTGAGGAGAAGTTTATTACCATCACTACATAAATTATGATTACATAAAAGCAATAATATTTTTAGCTTATATTAACTATATTGTTGTTTAAGTATCTAATGAATCTTCTTAAATTTAACATCAGTTAACTATGGGTTAATTTTTTCATTTTTAATTTCCTCATTTGCATTTAATTTAAATCATTAGAATATTATTCAACTAATAAAACTAAATTATTTAATTTAAAATTAAATAATAAATTATAACTAAAATAAATAAAAATATGTTAAAATGTAAAAAATACATAAATATAGGTAATGTATAATTAATTTATAAAAAAAATATTAGAAGATATAATTGTATCAATTAAAAAGTAATTGATACAATTAAATAATTTGATTATAAATAAACTAATCATACAAGTAGTGACAATGTGACAACATAAAGTAGCAGCAGAATTAACAACATTTTCTATAAAACAATACTTAAAAATGATTACCTGCTTGCTACCTCCTTTCATGCAAACATCCAAATACTTTTCTTTCCATTCCAAACGCTCTTCTTGAATTCTTTGAATATCACTTCTTGTATTCCATAATGCCTTAAATATTATAATATTATAAAGATGGCAGATAAAATTAGAGTCTATCCCTTAAACTTTACATATCTGAAATTAGTTCATACACCTTGTAAACTTTTACTTTAAAACATTTCTTAAAACAACTAAACCCAGAATAAGTTATTCAAAAATGGCTTTTTTTGTAACTATAAGAATGACACCTTACTTACATCTTTGGTATATAATACACTTACCTTACACCTTTGGCATACAATATTTATTTTTGAGTGTTGTATTTTAAAACTGTACAAACCTAATCTTTACTTACTAAAAACAGCAATTATAACTTCACAGTCCTGGTTTTAATTATAACAAATACCTCTTTATGTTGCTCTCTTTCTCTAAGCAATTGATTTTCTAAATTTTGTTTATCAATATGAAGCTGCTGAACTTCTTGTTGTAATTTTTCTAACTGTTGCTGTAGATTTTCATTAGATTTTTTTAAATGTTCATTTTCTTCCCGAAGCATGGAAAAATTTGCCAAAAAATCGTCTGCATCCTAAAGTAAAAAAAGTTTGACATTAGGTATATTAGCTAATAAAATTAAATATATTAGGTAATAAAAGATATATTAGGTAATAAAAGATATATTAAGCAATAAAAGATATATATTATATAGATATATTAAATAATTCAATATTAGATATATTAGGTAATAAAAGAAGCTTGATTTTAATTTAAATATTCTTTCAACTAATAATATGAAACTATTTTTAAATTTATTTAATTATATTCAACTACAAAATTAATAACGGAAAATCTTTGTGTTCGCTTTAAGAGAAGTTCTAAATTTTTTAAAATTTAGACGTAAAATTATTTTATGAAAACGAAGTGTGTAAGTGTAAATTATATCATGGTTTTTTTTTTACACAAAGATACTAAAATTCAAAGTTTGAATAAAGAAAGAAATATTCATTATCATTGAAGTTATTTAATTTTAAACTTTTGTAAACTAAGTTTATTATTTAGTTTATTTACTAAGTTTATATTCAAGTTTATATTGATCAACAATGACAAATTTATTTTTCAAGCAGTTTACTTTCTTTTTTCAAATATATGTATATACATATGGCATCAAGCTTAATACAAATTTTGAAACTTAAAAAAAGATATAATTAAAAAGTAAATTTGAATTATAATTTTAAAAAATCTTCAAAATTTGATTTTCGTACTATTTACGTACATAAAGAGTTTTTTCAATATATGTTTGAACGCCTTGATTAAGATTTGATGCATCAGCCATTTTTGTTTTGTTATTGTAATATGTTTTCGTATTCAAAGCCGTCCGACCAGACGGATAAAATGTTCACAATTATGGATGTCCGATCAGTAAAAAATGTTTTATAATTTTTTTTGTAAATGTTTAGTATATTTAATAATATAATAGTGGATTTAATAGTTTAAGAAATACTTTAGTGTATACTTATATTATATTCAGGGGTTAAAATAGAACGGAGCGCACAGGAACACTGTTCCGTTTAAGTCTACTCTCAAAGAGATTGTTCTGCTACCCTTTGTTTCTTTCATAACCTCCCAGTGGACGCAAGACATATTTTTGACATTTGCAAAACGTACTAAACGTGTTAAAGGGTTTTATAGACGACTGAAACTTGAGTTGCATCAGCAGGGCATTACCATGGCTTTTTTGAAGATTCTTTTGAGAAGAACTTTTTTTAAAAAAGTTAGACTTGAAAATAATCATGTAAATCAAGCACTATTTAAAAATTTTTTTTTATCATTATTATTATTTTGAATTTGAATTTTATGGTGTATTTTGCCATTTAATCCTCTTATATCTAAAGTTATTGTAGGCTTAGCATAGCCACAAATAGTCATAAAGACTAATCCAAAGCAGCGTTTGTTATTGACCAATATTTTTTCTTACCGAAGTACTACTCAAGCGCTGATTTGATGGTGACTGGATTTGAACTATATTATATAACAGTCTTGGGTTTTAAAATTTTGACGCTCTAAACAACTAATGAGCTATTTAGCCACTATGGATTTTTAAGAGATGAGTTTTTATTTGCAAAAATGGCTGACTAGCAAAATAGGCAAAAAACAATTTTAGTTGATATAGGTGGAGTTAATTGTCTTGATCTATCGTTGACCAAAAACAATAATTCATAGTTGTATGACTTTGCAAATCTACCTAAATCTGTTTGAAATATCTCGGTCGCAAAAAAAACTTCAAAAGTTATATTATGCATGATGATATACCATTCTCCAAAATCAAGTTATGATTCCCGACCGATGATGTCATAATTTTTGTCATAATCTTAAATAATCCTTTTTTTTAAAAAAAAAAAAAGATTTATTGTTTAAAGTTAATCTAGCGTAACAAAAAAATATATATATAAAAAAACCATTTTTTTTATTAAATCAAGAGTGCGTACATCTATTCGAAAACAATGTTCCCTTGCAGAAGATGCATGTAATTATTTGTATAAAGCAGAAATGAAGTTAAACAAAGACGATACCCATTTCAAAAACAAAACTGGAGAAGGGGAAATTACATTTAATGCTATTTTAATTACAACGCAAACCAAATTAAGTAAAAAACTTTTAGAAGCCATGTTAGAAAAGGTAGAACAAATACAAAACAGTGGATATAATTATGCTTACAGCAAACACAAAGTGTTAAAATCACAACCTATTACCACTTTTAACGTACGTATGTTAAAAGAGGACGAAGAAATTTATTATACAGAATACGATAGACAAACTTCTGTGGAACCTGTTATGATTAACACTTTACTTAAAAACGGACAAACAAGATCTTTTAATCAAAATATGAAAAGAGCTGCACACGATTTAGCTGCACAAGAAAGTAAAGAGTATAAAAAATCAAAACACGAAATTAAAGACGAAAAAGATGATGATGAATAAACTTTTATTTTTATTTAAAAAAACCTGTATTTTTTTCTATTTTTAAATTTAAAAATACCAGTTATTATAATAAAACACGTTTTTTTTATTTCCTTATAAGGTTAATATGCGGTCATACAGATTAACAAAAAAATATAAATACAAATCAAAATTTTTTGTATATCATTTCAAAAAAAAATGACTAGCAAACAGGTTGAACAATCTTTAGAAAAAGCAGTAAAGTTGTTTTATCCAGACAACGAACTTCATCCTATTTTACAAGAATTTCATCATTTGGAAAACAGTATTGAAGATTGGAAAATTATTGTAAACGATTATTTAACTAAATGGAATTTACAACTGTTATTACCAGAAGAAGAATATATTGATTTGTATTTTATTTTTATCATCAAAGACTATCAAAATCATCAAAATTTATTTGAAAAAACTACGCGTCATTATTTTCAATTTAATGAACAGGGAGCTAAATGGAAATCAGACATGTATGATTTTTGTAAAATAATCAACAATGATTTTTTTAAAATGTACAGAAAAAAATGTAGATGTTTACAAAGAGCACAGATACATAGAATTGAAAAATAAAACAGAGCATTTTATAAAAATATACAAGAGATATTATCGTAGCACTATTGAAAACAAATGCACGTTATGGAAAAATAAAATTAAATTAACATTAAAATATTATTTTTTGTTTCCCTATTTAATCGATGATCATTTATACGAATACGATTTATTAAAGCGTAACAGTTTAATTTTGCGGGAAGAGTATCCTTCTTGTTTACAAAAATTAGTATTTTCGTACAATGATAAAATATTTCATAACGGATTTTATACTCTTTATACACCATCACCCATTTATAACTATTTTAAAGTTGAAAAAGTAAAAACTGTTAACGATAAAGTCTACATATACAAATCGTTTAATCAATGTAATTTTTATGAAAAATCAATTATGGAAATGTTTCCCTATGTTAATTGGTTTTATTTTTGTAAAAGAAATTTTACCATTTCAAAAATTTTGAATAAACGAGACAATCGACTTTATGATGTTATTAAACAAGAAATTGTTAACGATAAACCTATTCACAAAGCTAAACATTTTATTATGTATTATATAAACGCAAAGGAATTTTTTTTTAAAAAATATATAACTTTTTTTCTTTTTTTATATTTACTGTATAATATGTTTTATTTACAAGATAAAAATTATCAAAACATTTACAAGTTGTTTTATTGACTTCTTCACAATAATTATTCTCACGTATCAGATCAACCAACTCTTTATACTCTTCTCTTTTTTCATCATTTCCTTTTACGTGATATATAAAATCTATTAAATAATTTTTTAACATTCTGGTCTCGTATTTTGGACGAGATCTAGGCAGGTTAAGTAAGGTCAGTGTCGGGTGACACAAAAATTTTTTTAAAAAAAATATATAAGTTTTTTTTTCAAAGTTTTTTTACAAGTCAAAAAAAATGAGAAAGGGACACAGACGAAATAAACGTGCAAAAAGATATATTTTTATAAACAAAAAATCAAAACCGCATACAAACTCGTTCCAGACACACGTGATGATAATATTTTAAGTGTCGATTTAGACGTTTATGTTAATAACTTATTACCTAGCTCAGAAAGTGTAAAAACATCTAAAATGAAACACATTGTTCCTTGGCAAATTGCCTTTTTTTATTAAAAATAATGACTAACACAAACACAATAAAATCTGAGGGTAACATATATAATATAGAATTTGATCTTAACGAAATTCCAATCCAAATTAACGCTTTATGGAAAATTTGGAACGATCAAGTTATTGTTAAAGACGCTAACAACAACTATACAGAAGAAAAAATAACACTGACTAGTTTTGTAGACATTTTAAAAAACGCTTTTGGTACTTTTAGTACAAAACTTCTCTACATCTCTCCATCGGTTATAGGTATAGAACCTACAGAATTGTTTGCTTGCTTTTATCAAATCTTTTTTCCAAAAACAAGTCAAAGAAAATATTATCAATTTACTTTACAAAACATACCGCTAGCTTCTTTACCTATACCTTTTTTTAACGTCGACCAAATCATATGGCCTGAACGTGAATTAAAAATGATGGATATTTTTACAGAGAGTATAAATTACAATTTGTCAAACAATTTACTTAATTTAAAGTTAAATAATCTTACTTTTGACCAATTTATTTATGAAGGTACTAATATCTACTCTTATCAAAAATTCCTCAATCAATACAATTTTTCATCCATTCCTAACGACTATTATAAAAATTATTATACTTTTTGGTGTTTACCTTCATTTGAACGAAATACATACGAAATCAATTTAAAATCACCATTACAAATTTCTAAAGCTATAATTGCTTCAACAAATACATATAACAATTATTTTGAAATGAAAGGAAACCAAATTTCACCGTATCATGTTCAATTTGGTTCACTCAACACGTTTACTACATCTCCTTCTAATTTACCCGAAGATATTTATAAAATAATAACGGCAGATTGGACATTGATTGCTAAATACAATTCAGAAACATTTATCGAAGTTTTGATTTATTGCGAGCAAACTAAATCTATTTTTTCTACCTCTTGTTACTACGGCTGCTTGTGAAAGAGCCTCTACACCTAGTTATAAAACGTGGTTAAACGGATCAAAATCTATATTGCAAGGTAACAACATTAACGAATTGGTATTTTATTGCACTTCGCTCAACGGACAATTTCGTCAAAAAAAAAGTGACGGTTCTGTCATAAATTCTTGGTCTAACAGTTTACCTTTAAAAAACATTATTTTAAAAATGTATCAACCCATTGGAAACAATCCTGTACCTTATACTTTGCTATTACAAAGAGATCAATACAGTTTGACAAACGAAATTAATCCGTTTAATATAGAAATAGATCAAAATATGGTTTATACCATGGCTCAAGATTTTAAAATTCAAAAAAGAAAACTCGCTTTTTTAAGATGTACTTTGATGCAAATAAGTAACTTTAATAATTCTGTATCTAATTTTCCCACTACTACCGACAACCTTATATTTATTAAATGCGATCAAGCTACCAATTGCGGAATGTACATGAACAGAAGATACGAAACGGGAATTGTTTCCTATTTTAATTTGACAGATTATAACAACGCTACTCAAGTAACAGTCAATATCGATTTTACTAAAAATCGTAAAACAGAAATACAAGGACAATTGACAACGTTTGATATTGTAGACGTAGAAGATTGGAAAAAAACAAAATGGACTTTTTTTAACACTAACAAAGAACCGCTCAAATTTAACAATTTAAGTACTACTGTTTTTTTTAATCCTACTTTCAAAATACAAATGGTACTATTTTATAATTAGTTTTAAAAAAAATGTTAAAAGGAATGGATCGATTTGATTGTAATTGTCTTTGTTGTAATAAAACA